CTTACCAGGCTTCCTGGGGTGATATACTGCATGATGTGGGATGTACCAAACCTCGCACTGACCTTCCACATCGTCCTGGGGAATTATTTCAGCATATCCTTTGGCCAGATACTCCTTCATCACCTTACTGTAAGCCGTTCGCAAGTCCGGGTCTCTCATTAATTTTTTCTTCAGTGAGTTTAATCTCATGTGTGCCACCTGCCTGTTGTCTGGGAATCTTGGTCTGTCGGTTATCCATGGTAATGCTACTTCGTAATGGTTTCCTTGCTTTCCCAGGGACCTTTGCATCCTAGTCAGGGCATGTTTATCGCTCAGTGACATAGCCAAACGACAGCTGGGGACTTCATTGAATTCTTGGTTATAAATCTTTTCTAACATATGGTGTAGGTCTAACGTGTCACAGCAGGTTGAGTAAATGTTCACGGTGGTCGCCGGCGATACTTCCTCGTTTGGGTAGAGGGCTTCCTCCATTGAGGTAGTAGGGCCTAGGATAATCCAACCCAGAGGTGTATGGACCGCGTATGGATCATTTGGCCTTCCGCGTCTTTGTTCTAGTGACCAGTGACAGTAGGGATTGTCACTTCCGATTATTAGTCTCACCTTTCCAGTCACTTCTGGGAGCTGTAGATCGGATAAATGCTCCCAGCACCCCATTTGCACCTTCGCTTTGGAGCCGCGAACTAGTTCCGGAAATTTTTGTACAGAACGAACTCCTTGAAGCGGAATAGTTTCTTTAGCACCCATTGCCTGGACGTTCAAGTCTAGCCTTTGGGACTGAAAAACCCCACATCCAGTCACGGTACTGATCTTCAACGACTCGACCTTCCCTTGTGCACCAATTTCCAATAGTAGTTCGGAATCAACCAAGGATGTATCAGAGCCATTGTCTAGTAAGGCCACCGTCTGTACCTGGCCTCCGGGTCCCGACACTATCACGGGGACGACTCCTAGCGCCACTTGTGACCGGTCTGAGTGTTTCAGGGTGTAGCAGGTTGCCTCTGGGTCGTTTGGCTTGGTCCGTTGATCATCGAGATTTGTGTGTAGAAGCGGGTGATGAGCAGCCCTACATTGATTTAACCCGCAACTTTTACGGGAACGGCATGAGTTTCGGTCGTGGTTTGATTTCAGACATAGGATGCACAGTCTGTTCTCTCGGCACATCTTCAAGCGTTCGTGGACGCCATATTGACAAAATCTATCGCACTCGTCCAAATAATGGTGTCCACTGCAACACGAGCACGTTAAGTAAGACCTTTTGGAACCAGATGTAGCGAGAATATGAGCTGAGGAACCTCGAGGTCTAGAGTTGCCAACTTTGTCCACGATAGTTGAAGTCCCGGTAGTTGGTCTCTGTGCGAAGGAGAGAAATGTGTCCATGACGTCGGCTGTCTCCTCGACAAATTCGATGAGATCCAAAAATTGTGGCTCTCTGTTAGCTCTCATGCACCTAGCGGCGTGTTCTGCCCACTTAAACTGAGCATGAGTTGGTAGACGTCTCACAATGGCACCAACGGTCCGAGAAGCATTTATGTCTGATTCATACTTTAATTGCCTCAAGGTGGTGTAGCAGGTACGGAGCTCCCCAGCTAGTCTCGATAGGGTTGCGAAAACGTTTTGTCTGATCGCGGTGCCATCCATGAGGGCATCGATGTGCGTCCTGGCTATCATAAGTGGCCTTCCGAACCGCTTTCGCAAGATGTTCAAAGCTTCGGTAAATTCCTCCTCAAGATCCAGTTTTAGACAGCTCTCGATGGCTCTTTTGGCCTCGCCGGAACAATATTGAACCAGGTTGGACAGCCTGATTGTTGGATCGGTTGTAGACTTTAGGACGTTCGCCTCGAAACAGCGCATGAAGAGCCAGTAGCGGGCAGGATCTCCCTCGAATGTCACCAGGTCTCGTTTAGGGAGGTTGATAAGCGTGTTGCCAAAATTGTCAGTTCCTCGAGATGTGACCGGCGATCGACTGGTGGTGGCTGATCCGTCCAGAGTTTGAAATTCAGGCATCTGGCATGCAGCGCTTCCTTGTTGATACTCCATTTCGGATTGGACAGCCGCTTCACAGAGAGGTTTCATTGAATCCGGTTTCAGTGTGATGTCGGGGGCAAATTTTAATCTCGAAGGACACACGGAATCACGTAGTCTTCATCCGCTTGGTGCACAAACCGGACCTCACGTGATGCGACGTTTGAACCCAAAGAAGTACGTATCGTTGTCAGCTCCAACTCCAGTTGCCTGATTCTCTCTCCTGCCTGTTCCAGCTTGGAAATCGTCATGAACTCCTCATAATCAGAAAATGAGGGTGTATTGCATTCAGGAGTAGACATAATGTCGTCTAGTCAACTTTGATACGGAAACGATAACAGATATAACGTAGGACGAAATTTGAATTGCACTTAAGGACTCTGTGAACAATACACAGCTAACTAAAATGATAGGGTACCGGAGTGAATATAAACGTCGGTACTAACCAGAAGTTGTAGCGCAGTAAGACGATAAAATGATTATGATAGTGCGCACCAGAGTTTTGAGTTCCACAGATCCAACCTTGAAACTGAATCCGTGTACTCTTGGGAATTGGTTGCCAAAGTAGACACAGCTATCTGGTAGGCTTATACCACTAAGGGGGGCCGAGGGAATTGAGAATGATTCGAGGAATATCTTGCTTACTATATATTAGGTAACAATACCTGTACGAAGGACAGATTCGTCAAGGACAAGATGCGTACGAAGCAACAGTGAAAATAGAAAAACTAGAGAGAACCCGGCTGAAGTTTTGAGACATTCAGCAGGCAAAATACCGGACAGAAGAGGATCAGGTGGTAGAGGCAGGATAGTTTATGAGAGTTCAAAGGTTAATAATCCATGCCGTTTTGAAATGCCAATACTTCGTTCATGAGATTGTGTAGGTGAATCATTTTATTTACAGTTAGAAATTTTCCAAAGCGTTCCTTAAATATTTTGCTGTGTGTCGTTAGTCTCATCACGACAGGAAGCTTATTCCACAGACGGGAATAAGTTCCTAGAAAAAACTTCCTCCTGGCTGTAGTTCTGTCGTTTGTTATTGGAAGAAGGTTAATATGGTCTTCTGTGGAATGGGTTTTTTCGTGCACGAAACTGTGCAGCAGAACAATGTTAAGCTTCACGCGAGGTAGCCATAAAGTTTCAAGCTTTAAGAGGAGACATCTTTCCATGTAGCCTAACTCGGTGGATCAGCCAAAGATTTGCTTGGTGAATCTTCGCTGGACGTTCTCGGTGGCTAACCTATCGAGCTTTTTCATGCTAGAGTATGCCATTGAGGAAAATTCTAACAAGGGCCTGGTGAGGGTTTTATAAAGAGTGAGGATGCTCTCGCGGAGGCTAAAGCTCCTGAAGAATAGGCGTACCGTTCGTTTTGCCTTGGCTACTTGTAGAGCGCAGTGCTCTGAGAAGTTAAGAGTACAGGAGTGATTCAGTCTAAGGTCACGAACAGAAGATGAATGATCAATAGGGGTGCCATTAATGGCCAGGGGACCTGGAGGCACTTGACATCGAAAAGTCAATAGGTTTAACTTCTCTTCAGAGAAAGTCATTGTCCACGTAGAACACCAACGATCGAGCGCCAGAAGGTCTGATCGGATGCCTTCAAGAGTTTCTGTTAACTTATTAGGTGAAAAAGAGTAGACAACTTTAATGTCATCTGCAAAGAGGAGGGAGGTCCCACAAAGAATGGATTTTGAAACGTCATTTATATACATAAGAAATAATAGAGGGCCTAATACGCTACCTTGTATTACGCCACTGGTAACAGATTGGGGTTGGGAGGAACAATTATAAATCGATACCACCTGGGAGCGTTCAGATAAGTAAGAAGAAAACCATGAGAGAAGTGGGTCACCTATCCCATAAGATCGGGCCTTGGCAATGAGCCGTGAGTGGGAGACCCGGTCATAAGCTTTTGTCATATCAAGATAAACTACAATGTAGGCTTTGCCGGTGTCCATGGTTTTATTAATAAGGTTTAGGAAATCAAATTGGCATGTTTGGCAAGAGCGAAATTATAGAAAGCCGTGTTGACTATTGCTAAGTAGATTGGCAGTAAGAAGGTAGAGAGACAGTTGTTGTTTAACAATCTTTTCCATTATTCTGGAGATGATAGGTAAGTGATTTATGGGGCGGTAGTTGGTAGGATCCTGAATCAGCCCGTTTTTGTGAAGTGGGATAATGATAGATTATTTCCATTGAGATGGTACAATACCATCAATCATAGACAGGGTAAATAACTTCAACAGTATCAGGGGCATATCAGGTCCGCCAAAGCGTATTATACTTGAGGGTAGTCCATCCGGTTCTGGCCGAGAGGAAGGCATAGTTACATTGAAAATGCCAGAAATATCTTTAATGGTAAAGTGAATGACATTTAAAGATTCAGCAGTGGA